ACCTTATTTGCTGGCTTGTTGCCAAGACCGAACTTGTTAGCCGGTTTCCCATCAGGAATCTTGTAGTCTCTAAACCAGTCCCTGATTGCAGTCAGAGTACCCTATAGCAAATTGTGCAAATGAGTTCAATGCAATAATAATAATAATAATAAGAAGAAGAAGAAGAAGAAGAAAAAGAAGAAGAAGAAGAAACAAGCCAAAAAAAAAAATGTTCAATCATGAAGCAATATTGCAGTATCAATAGTCTATTTACCGGAAAATGCTTATCGACATCATCCACGTCATTAACAAGGGAAGCTCTAGGGTCATCCAATGAAATCGCGATAATTTTCCAGTCAAGCTCCCCTTCGTCAATCATAGCCAAAGCAGCCAGGGGCTTCACTCTCAAAACTTGCCCGATTTTAGCTCGGTTTTCCCCAATCTCAACGACATCAACTATGAAAAAGGCGAAGTACCAGTTATTAAACTTTCAACTGCTTTTACCTACTTTATTTCTGGTTTTAGGCTTTTAGCTTCCTTTCAGGAATATATAGAATTGTTTGATAAGAAAAGACAAATGCAGCGTCGAAATAAACGATCATGCACCTGGATCATTGTCCCCAAATGCCCCATCGACTTCGGCATTTGCAAATGACGGGTCCTCCCAAGTTTGTGGAAGCAATCCATAGTTCCAGTTTATGTTGTAGCTACAAAAGACATGAAAAATAAATAAGCACAGAAAGCAAGGTATAACTAGGTCAGTCCAGCAAAGATAAAAGATAATAACAAGAAATTTGGACTCAATTTGAATATCCAACTTGTATTAAGATACAAAAATCCAGTGACTAAATAAATCCTAAAATGATTTGACGTCTGCAGCAAAAATTACGGTCTAAATTCTGTTTTTATTTATATCCACATGAAATAAAGATAACCAAATACAATATAATTCATAGTCCACTTTTAAGAGGTCATTTGATACCAGTACTAGAAAGTCCATACGGTAGATACATCAAACCAACTGACCGACTGCCGCAAAATCCTTTTGAAATGTCTCAACACGTGAATCATTCTGAAGAGTGAGATTGGAACTTATGTTCTTGTAAGAGATCAGCAAATGGGGCCAAGATGTAATTGGCATCAAAAGAGTATATACACAAATGTACACCGATAAACTAATTGGGAAATCATATGAAAGACTAGAAAAGCCAAAAGCATACTTACGGGTAGTATCGGAGTTTTCCCTTCTTTGTATCTTGCTTAATAGGAGTAAAAACCTCATCTGTGGCAACCTCCATCTTTGCACTTGATTCTTTTGGAATCTCAACAATAAAATTGAATGCACCATCTCCCACCTTCAACGGTACATCATGCCACGGGGAAATCTGCACACCAGACAACAACAATGCCCGGCATTAGCTGATAAGTACACATTCATTTATATAAACAAAAATAATACTCATTTATACAAATCAGTAATCACTGCTGCCATATGTTCTTCATTTCTCACTGCCTTCGACAATGTATAGCCTCGACTAACACTGAATTTTTTCCTATTTCCTAATAGAAATGCTACAACAAAACGATGCTTTGTTTTTCCTTCACATAATTGCTACATGTCTCTAATACTAATCGAAACAGAAAAATCTCAAATCACTCAATACATTAATCCAAAAAAAATGCATCAAATACCATTTCCAAATAATTAACAAATCAATATTCAGAATCAAATAATAATAATAAATGAAAAGAACACAGCTTTCCTAATAAATCCAATTAATCCGAAGAAATCAACCAACAAAAATCCCAATTACCAAACACCAATTAAATCCATGATGATAGCAACAACACAGACCATCTCGAAGTTTCATATACCTTCTTTCCGGCATTATCGAGGAAGAACACGCGGTAGTCTAGGGTTTCGGGCTGGCCCTCTTCTTGAATCTGAATTTGGGGATTGTAAATAGCTCTGCAACTTAACAGCCGCCTCTTTTGCGTCAACGACCTGTGGTTGCTATTGAGGCTGAAGCTGAGTATCTGGGGCTTTCCCCTCAGCGGAGATCTCGCGAGCAGGGCGCCGGTGACGGCGTTGCCGGCCGACGCTATTACTCTGGTGGCCGCCATTGTTGTCGATGAGGGAGAAAGCTCGTATGAAAATGATGTAAACACCAAATGGTGGCCGCTAATTGGTGAGTGGTCTGTGTGGCGACTCTATGAGAGTGTCAAGTTTTATTTTTCTTCCTTTTTAGGGTCTTCTGTTTAAGAGATTCTGAATTTAACCGTAATCGCGGGCATGTTCATCACGACGGTATCAATGCGAAATAATTTTTGGTGCGGGTTGTGTTAGCCAAATATAAATTATCGCAGCCACAGCTTCTGCTTATGGAGTCTTTGCCTATGGGTTCGTCAACTTTGCGGGGCCTGGGACGGTTTTGGGGTAAGCTGCTTCGGGGAGTGCGCTGGTCGATTGGGGACGGCACTCGTGTCCGGTTTTGGCACGACACCTCACACCTGGCTCCATTCAGATGTCCGGTTGGGGCAGGCTTGCACCGATATCACCATCCCGGAGCGGTAGAGTACCTGGACGGTCGCCGACTTCACGACGCCGGAGGGCCACTGGTGTTGGGATACTCTCTCTACCCTCCTGCCGACAACTTCTCTGCTGCGGCTCGCTGCACAACTTCCACCTTGTTATATCACAAATACTCGAACCGTTGGACCGCTCCTCTCGAACCGGGTTGCGTCTCCTTGGTCGTCGGTACCTGCAAAGCACGCCGGGGGTGGTCCCGGCGTGAACACTCCGACTCAAGTCAGTGATGGTCTAGAGAGAAAACGACAGAGTAACGAGATAGTTCGTGAATGTGTGTTGTGTAAAATGAATGAACCTGCTCCCTTTTATAATAGAAATTTGGAGAGTCCCAGGGGATAAGAAGTCTTCTTCACATAAAACTCTTAATTAGGTTAAAGGTCTTCTGAATCCCGAGAGTCCTTGTTGCTACTAACTCCTCCGTAACTTGATCACAAAGTCACCTTCAGGTTCTAACCTCCTCGACGCACACGAGGACTGTCGGGCGCACGAGGACCACCGGCCACCTCCCAAGGCCGAGCACCCACCAAGCACTTTCCAAGGTCGAGTACCCGCCGAGCATCATCCCAGTTCGAGCACCTCGTGCTGAACACGCGTCACCGAGGGCCTTGCGCCGGGCACCCCACATGTCGGGCACTACCTACGCCGGGCACTCCTCATACCGGACACTTATCTCATGCCGAGCAGTCGCCACTCGCCGGTCACTCACCCAACCGCCCGACTACCACAATGTCGAGCTGGTCCTCTTCATAAGGTAGTAATGACCGGATCACAACCGGTTCCTCATGAGCCGCTATTGACGACTATATCACACCTCAGTCGCACGGTCGTGACATTTTATACTGGGGCTTCTTAGCAAACGAGAGTTTCACCACCGCGTCGGCGTACCTTTCTCTCGTGGATCCGGTGGCTGTGGGGACGGCAAGGCTGTGGAAGCTCGTGTGGAAATGGGACGGCCCTCAACGCATTCGCCAGTTCATGTGGCTTGTGGCAAAGGGTCGTCTTTTCACGAACAGTGAACGGTTTCGACGCCATGTTGCACCTTCTCCCGGCTGCGCTCTCTGTGGTGGACCAGAGGAGAGCCTTCTCCATGCACTCCGCGATTGTGATGGTGCAAATCAGATTTGGCGCGCTTTCGTACCGGGAGGTGAGTTTTCTACGTTTTGTAGCCTGAGTCTCGAGGATTGGCTCATCTCCCACCTCTCCACTCCGGGATTGTACGGCTTTGATAATTGGCCGTCTGTTTTTGGCATTGTTGTGTGGCGGATTTGGCATGCCCGTAATTCTTTTATTTTCAACCATGAAGCCGTTGATGTGACTCGCAGGTCTCACGAGATTCGGATGCATATGCGAAATATTTTTACGGCCCTAGCTCATGCGAGCCAATGTGGGTCGAGTACAATCCGACGTGAGGTGCGGATGGTCCGCTGGATTCCCCCCCCACTTTTCGGAGGGGTGGGTGAAAGCTAATTCTGATGGCTCCTTTAACGGGGTGTCGGGCTTGGCCTCTGCTGGCGGTTTACACCGCGACTGTTTTGGCCATTGGATGGGGGGCTTTGCTATGAACCTTAGTTTCTCGACGATCACCGGTGCTGAGCTATGGGGCTTATTTCAGGCCTTATCTCTCGCGTGGAATTTGGGGTTTCGTCGTGTGATTGCTTCCGTTGATAGCCAGTGTGTGGTACGCATAGTCGAGGGTGACCATAATGGGATGGGTGCCCATGGGAGTTTGGTACGCGGTATCCGAAACCTCAGTGCGAGGAATTTGGAGGTACGTCTCCTCCACGATTGGCGTAAGTCTAACTTTGCAACAGATTCTTTGGCCTCTTTGGCTACGCGCAGCCCCGACGGGCTCCATGTGTTCCAGCATCCCCCGAGTGACGTTAAACCGTGGCTGGCACATGATATTCTTGGTGTGTCGCACCCGCAGAACGTAGTTATTTGATTGTTCTTAGGCTTTGCCTCCTTTCAGTACCGAAAAAAAGGGAATATTATAGTCTACTATGTCATCCCCATGAGTGAATTATATAATTTAAATCTGTACAAAAAAAATATATAATTTAAATAAATTAAATAAAATATTCACAAAACATTTAGAGTGATAATAAAATGTATAATGAATTTTATTTATTGCATTTTACAATATTTTTCTAAATATAATACAGTAGTTGATAAATTGTGTTTTTGTAATCACTATTATCATGATAAATAATAATCACCGGTCAATAGAAATTTGTGATTAAAACCAACAACATATAACCAACTGATTACAAAATACCATATTTTTTCATAAAAATTTAAAACCAAATATATTAAACTTAAGAAAAAAAAAATTGTAATATTCGACGGAAAAAAGTATTTGTCACATTCGTGACGCTCCTTTAACAAATTTTCTAAAAAATTTTTATATAGTAGCATAATTTTCATCATTTCGAGAAAACATAGATATTGTTACTATTATACAGATAAATCGGTATATGAATAATTATAATTAACATGTACAAGAATGAGCTAATTAAATTAAGAAAAACACAAATGAAATACCTAATAACAAAAAAAAAAAA